CTTAATGCAAGCTCTCCGTAACTCATGAGGAAACCTGCTGAACTGTTATAAGCTATAAATCGAAAACAGTTTAATAATTGACATTTTATATGATCAGTAAGGGGGAAAAATGGAATGTGAAGAGGAATTTGCAGTGTAAAATCATGAGTAAACCTTTCCTTTGTACTCAATATTGCAGACTAGGCTGGCTGCGTGTAACAAGTACACGAGCCAATTTTTCTTAGGAAAGCCTTCCACAAAGGCCGCCTTCCTTTGGACAGATAGCCATCGAGATCTTTGCGATAATAAAATACACCCGTACACCAGCAGTTTGACCTGGCTTCAAGTTCAGGCTAACCCACTGGCAGCTTGTTGGTTTTCGTGGTTTGTCCCATATGTAACTTAAATACAGCCAGTTGCCTTAGAAAGCCCTCCAGGAAGACATCCCTGCATCCATATTTTCCTTGTGTGCTTTGCCATATTCATTACCTTAACCTAACTTGTCTCATTATAAATCCTATTTATTTTAATAACCTATGATTTTAACTTTATTTGAAGATTTATTTTAACGATTATTTTTTTTATTTCTCAGAAATTATATAACCAAAAGAAAAATTATCTTGTAAAATCACTGATTTATTTTAGTGTAAATATATTAAATAAAAATAAATTCATAAAAAATATTAAAATAATTCAAATAAAATTCTCCAGTCGAAAAAATTCAATTTCAATATCTTATTCTGCTTTTAATAATATATTTTTTAAATAAAATCTTTACAAAAAATGCCTAAAATTTTATTTTTTAAATACTCTATCGAGATTAGAAACCTTCTTGAAAATATGGCATGTGCCCGATTTGCACTCGTCGAAATAGTGCACTCGTCGCACTTTGTAGAAGAATAAGTTCATTCGGTTACATAAGTTAAATCAGCATTCAAAACAAGAGCAAACAAATTTTAGAAAGGAGGAACTTTATTTTATATTGCTCTTTTACGGCCCACACGTTACACATCGGCAAAACCATGAAAACGACCACAAAGCCAGCCCGTTCGACTGGAATCGAACACCGAACAGAAATAACAGTGCTCGGCGGTTTTACCGCTCGGCCGCTGGTGAACCAAAAATTTGGTAGGAATCAACGAGATAAGGGTTTTACGATTAGCAATTTATTAATAAAAGATGATTTAACATTATTTATATATTATTGTTCTAGAGTTAAGCTACGTGCCGTTGGGAACAAATAAATATATTTAAACATATATATATATATATATATAAATACAGCAGTCTTCTATGGTGACCGCTTCCATAGAACTCCAAAATCATCATAAACCGCAAATACATAAAGCATATAATAATTATAAAACAAAGACTGAAAGAAACCTTTAGTTATTAAATGTCATGTTCTTCACACGTAAACGATAAAATTCAGTTCAACAACAATATCACAAAATATTTAAAAACAGCATAGCTTTAGAATTTCCAATACATAGTCTCGCGCGCTGGAAGTAAAAATGTTTGCTTGTCCCTTTTTTTCCCTTTCATACAGTGTTGCCCTATTCGTTTTGAAATTGTTGAGTTTCTTAACAAAGAATTCGTTAAATTTTACAAAATTGAAATAGATAAAAAAAAAATATTCCAAATTAAGGCTTCTAGATGCCCATATTCGGGTAGAGGTTTACGTTATTCAGAATTTGATGGTTCTAAGTAGCTTTGATTTATCCCACTGCGAGAAACATGCATGTATTTCCTTAAGCAACTCTTTAAATTAGCACAAGGCGATAATATTTGGTGGCAACAATTTGAAAAGCGATACAACCTTTTAAAGTTTTCAGCGCAAAATGCCCAAAGCGAAATTAATAGCCCTTCTGAGTTAACGCCCTTTTGAACTAAAAAAAAAAAAAAAAATAAATAAATAAATGAAAAATGCTCATGCATAGGGTGAACCTTCTCTAACCTAAACAAATAATTGCCATTTCTGTGTCAGTTACTAAAGTTCATTCTCTAGTCTCAATTTGTTTAAAAAATCAGGATTAATGCCTACCATTTGGATCAAATCAAAACAGGCAGGAATTTCATATTATGCGCAAAGACGCATTTTTTTAACTCTTTTGTGTTACCATTATTTCTTAAATATGTTCTTCGTATCGTGCTCTTATCAACTTAAACCATGAAATTCAATTCAACAGTAATATATAGGATTTAGATATACAAATATATATATATATATATATATAATATATATATATAATAATTTATTTCCTAAACAATATTGATTAATTGATTATATTATCTCCTAAGTTTAATTAAAGTAGAATTATTTTAAAAGAGTGAATCCATACTGGTAAGTTATATTTTGAAAGATGTTTTGAAGTAATTTGAAAGCAAAATGTTAATAATGTTTTAACGGGGGGACTGGAGTTAAATCATCATGAAGAATAAAAATTTCAATTGTAAAAGGAAAAAATTAAAAACATGTAATCATTGTCATTGATCGGAAATTAGTTGACTTTTCAAGGGGAACAAACCAACTCCCGTTCAATGAACAATAATTGATAAAAATACGTAAATACGAAGGTGTTTCGTCTTTACTCGAGTTATAAGTTAAAGCCAAACCGGCAATTTCTAGTCAGGCCAAAATATTTCCGCGAATAGAAGGGATTATGAACCAATGCTGATACTCAAAGAACTTATTCTTATGAAGCATTTTAATCAATTCAATTTGGAGTTAAGTAAGTAAAAAGCAATTTCTGTAGAGAAATCCGAAAAAACTCGAGTAATCGTCCCCGACACCTTCATGTTTATGCATTTGAGTTCTATATTATTTGTAAAAAAAATTAAACATTGGAAAAATTGTCATTATGAAATCGATTCAAAGTAAAGTTGAAATAAACATAGAAGATTATAAAAAGATAAATAATGCAAACTTTGTAAAAACAAAAATCAAAGAGAACATAAAAATAATATAAAAAATAAAAATAGAAAAAATATAAATAAGATCAGTGAATGTACATGAAGATATAAGGGCCAGAAAGGTATTAAGTAACTTACATTCTTTCTAGTGGGGAGTTGGCAAAGTGTTCTCTTCGTGTCTGACTCATAAGTGTAGGGTGTCCGAAAATTCTTAGCGGCAGTGGGGGCTTTGAATAATATCAGTCAGTAAGACTTGGGTGAAGTAATTTATGGTAGTGGGTTGGACTCGGAATTCTTGAGGGATGTATTATGTGGAGTTCTTATTTGAGGAGAAACTGTCTGTTAAGATTTTTTTTAAAATACTAGTGAATGGAAATTAATTAATTTCTGGCTAATTGTCGTGTCGCAATGATTAAGAATTTAAGAAAGGAAAAAAGGAATTTTCACTGTCCAAGAGCTAATTAGACAGACTAAAGTCATGAAATAGGCCCATTTTTTTAGTAACAGTAACAGCATAAGTCTGAAGACAATTAGCTTTTTACAATATATACAATTGAGTAATACACTATACAAAATCCTTCAACTGATAGTCATCCAATTATACCGCCTTCTCAGGTTTAGGAACAAATTATCATATCCCTATCAGTTAAATGATTTAGAGTGAGTATTTAACGCCTGCTCTTTAAGGCAATGGTTGATAAATTGAATGGGTAATTAGATTATTTTGAGAATTTTAATAAGGAGCAAATTTCGCGTTGTAAATCTATATTGTATCTGTGCATATAATTTTAATTCGTTGTATTTGATTAATTATAGTATTGTTAATTACTTTTTTGGATATGTTGGAGTTCCAATTTATTAATTTGTTAGTATTGAAATTGAAGTTTCTTGTTTTGTCAAAAAGTAAAATTTTTTGTAGTTAATGATTTGAAGATCTAGAAAGTCTATGCTATTTTGTGAATTATTAGTTTTATTAAGTGTAAGACAATTCGGATAAATCTCGGAGTGTTCAATTTTACCAAAATTATTAAGTGTAATAAAGTCATCAATATATCTGTAGGTGTGTTTGTAGTAATTTAACTCTTGTGGTTGTAGATGTTTTTGGAAGTTAAATTCTTTGACAAATAAAAAGATATTACAGATCGAGGAGCTGGAATGTAAGCCCATTGGCAATACTCTGACTTGTTTAAAAAGTTGATTTTGAAACTTGATGTAGTTATGAAAAACTGTGCATTTTTCCATTTGTCAAAAGTCATGATATTGAGCATATCAGGGAAGAGTTTAGGCAGATCAAGTAGACTGGTATAGATTTCTTCTAGAGGAAGTGAGGTATATAAGTTTTTAAAGTAATAGCAGTTAATGTTTTGGATGTTAATTGTTTGAATGGTATTAATGACAGGAGTGTTATTATGGATGATCTAGCAATAGTTATGATTAGTGTTACAATCATTGAAAATAAATTTACAGATTTCATTAAGTTGAATTGTAAAATAATAGCCTACATTTTTCTTGTAATTATTAGTTCCATTAGCTATAAATCTGAATTTTAATGGTCTAAACTCTTCCCTGATATGCTCAATATCATGACTCTTGACAAATGGAAAACCTACCTTGTGGTTTCTTTTAAACTTACCACAATGAATTTTTATCACTGAGGCATGAGATCAAGTCTAATTATAATGTGTAAATTTCTAAAATAATAATCAATGAATAAATTAAAAATGAAAATAAAGTTTTTTATTTTAATTTATCCAAATATGACTAAGATTTTATACCTTAATTCTGAATATTAAATATAGCCAATTCTATCTAACAAAGCCTCCCCCCCCCCCGGGTTCGAAACGGCATTCATTCGTGAAGGTTTTTTTTTTTTTTTTTTTTTCCCCTTTCTTTTGATGTTAATGCTATTAAAGGAAAAAAATTAAAGAAAAGGTGTCTTTTATTAATAAATTTATGCTACGAATTTAAAAAAAATGTACAAATTTTTGTAAATGACAGGTAGACTAATAACCGACACGTGTATATCTTGCGCGATACTTGTTTTGAACTTTTCCGACTCCCCTACTCACAACAACTTTTACGTCATCGCCTTCGGCGAACACAGCGCCACCTATGTTACACTGTGAAAATGCCTTCGATGTCTCTCCTGTGGTTCGACACGTGCAGAATCTCTCTATGGATTATTATTTTCAAAATATGAAAGAAGTATTTATACGGAATCATTTCGATCTCCTCGAAAAATACCAGAAATCGGATATGCTTTTAACCAAGTAAGTAATTATTTATGTTCTTATTAAGGAAAAAAAACGAAATGGAAAGGAAAACTAACATTTCTGGGTGTTTTCTCATTAGTGTTCGCAGTCAACACGTGGTGACAGAAAATGAAAAGTTTTAATATGATTTTTAATAATTATGTTTAGTTACGTGTTGCAAAGAGTTATAGATCTTCATTGATTCCTATTTAATGAATTTTAGATAATTTTTGAGAAATTAAATTTTTGACAAATTAATTATCATTGATATGTTTCTCATACCGATTTCGATTCCCACTTTTTAAGAAATTTTTATGAACCTGCGTATTTTATTTATTTTTTTTCTTATACAGCTTTCCCTGTTTTGCATTTCTGACGTATATATAGTTTTTAAAAGCTTTAACGATTTTGAAAAAAAAAAAAAAAAAATATATAAAAATACCCATCGGAGAGCATATGGACCTCGTAGATCTGTTTTTCATATTTCCTCCAACCTATCAGTTCTTTGGTTTTTCTCTACAGCAATTATATATGCCCTCGTTTTATATTAAAGGGAAAAAAGAATAAAGAACATTGCTATATTGTTGGGTGTTTTCTTATTAGGGTTGACTTAGCACGTGGTGAGAGAAAAATGTATATAAATCTTTTTTTAATAACTGCGTTTAACAAATTATCATTGATCTCTGATTTTACAGTCCAGTTCCCATTTTTTGAATTCACATTTTTTATATATTTTTATTAACACCCAGGGCCGGCTTCAGAAATTGTGCGACCGCACCGGGCGGCGAAATTTACAGGCGACAAAATTTTTAAAATTTAAACAACCGAGGGGGGGTAGCAGAATTTTGAGTTTGCACTTGAGTTACAATAAAGACTAGCGCCGCCCCCGTTAGTACCTCGCATTTTGTTATTCTCATCCTTAGTGAGTTTTTTTTTTTTTTTTTCCTCATTTGTAATATATATGTAGAGAGAGTATCAAAAAAATTTTTTTTTTATTCTTTAGCAAAATTATCCAAATATTATATCTGCGCAATATGCTGCTGAAAATTAATCAATTATAGATAAGAAATTTAGAATCAGATCCACAACAGTATTATATTTCGTTCATATTATAATTCATAATGCACAAAATTTATATCATTTAAAGAATAGAATTATCTAATCGTTGCCACATGTTCTAATCAAATACTATAATAAAGCTAGAATGATGGATGAAAAAAATTAAGCAAACAAAACAAAAAAGAAACAGTTTTTCACAGACGACTGAGTATTTCTCATTCAATTAATTCAGTTCTCACTTCGCGAGAAGACAAAAATACATAAAAACTCAAAATACCTGTATTAAAAATTACGAAGTAAATCTTAAACACTTATTTCCTCGAAAAAATTCCAGAAAGGATTAAACATGATTTAATTCGCTATAATAAATGAAGGCGTTATTTTTGTTAAAGCTAAGTTCCTCTAGATTGGCAACAAATTCACTATCCTGCTGTTTCAAATGTAAACGAGCAATGGCCGCCATCAAAAACATTATTAGGCTTAGCGGCACTTAAACAACTTTAAAATTGTTGATAATTCTAAAAATATTGCATACAGATTTACTAAAGGCATGAAAACCTTAACCGGAAGATAAGAACAACATAATTCAGTCATTTTTAAAGCAAAAAATGTACAATTTACAAATATAAGAGTAAAGAAACCTGAGATTACTGAGCCGGGTAACAGAGTGGATATATATATATATATACGTTTGGTGCGGCCGATTGTAACCAAAATACGAGGTGCACATTTACATGTTATAGCAGTCCTATATACAAAATTTCAACGTTCTGAGGCTACTCGTTTTTGAGTTATGCGAGATACATACGTTCGTACAGACGCACGAAAAATTCTCTTCAGAATTCATTTTTTAAAGCAGTTTTATAATTTTTTGGAAGGAAAAGAGTCTTTTATTCTGTCCTTACGTACAGATATCACGCAAAAACATCGTTAAATTGCATTCGATAGCGGTCAAAATGGATATTTTCGTTGGAATGTGCTGCCTGAAACTTTTCGCGATTACAATACATGCTTTTTTCGTACAAGGAAGTAAAAAGGGGGTTACTTTCGAATAAATATGTAAAACATTTTCACATTACATCAGCATATTTTAGAAATAATTAGCAACATATTGTGTAGTTTATATCACATCGAATTCTGTTAAATTATTAATAAGGGTAGATGTAACATCTTTGGTAAGAGAATTTATTTACAGTCGTAACATTAAACAATTTTATTATTAAGAGTGCACCATTCAAATCTTCAAATGTTTCTGATTTTGATAAAGATCTGAAAACTCGGAATTTTCAAGCTTTTTTCATCATTGGAATCTTTCTAAATCAGAACCTAAAAAAATTGTAACTCAAAACTTTAGGTAAGTTACATTCATTGAAATTTGACAAAAGCCTTTATAAAAAAAATGTGCAATATTTCAGTGAGACATGCAATACTAATCAATTTTATAGTCATCCTAGAGCTTATGCCTTTTATTTTATTACACCAAATAATGGTTTTTGGATGTGTATGTATATACTGCGTGGTTGCGCAGTAAATACATACACATCCAAAAACCATTATTGCAGTTTTAATGATATATATATAACCAGTATCACCTTGTGGCTTGAAAGGTATGCTGTTTTGAAATTTTAAAATAAATAAGTTTTTGATTTTTCTTAATTTAATTTAACTCTCATGATTTCCTGGAGGGAATTCAGCAGTTTATATGTAGTGTTTATTTGCACTCATACTTGAAATAGCCTTGTTCTTTCCTTACTTTCTTAAAATTTGCAGAGGGGGGAGGAAAAAAACATTAAAAAGAGAATTGAAAATCCGGGAAAAAAATGAGCTGTTAGTCATTCCCCAAAGTTATTATATATATATATATATATATATATGTGATTCTTGCAATTTTAGTGATAGCATCAGTATCAGTTTAAAAGTATTCAGCATCAGTGGTTTTCATCAATTCTTAAAATAAGCAAGTTTTGATTTTTTTTTCCCCTATTTCATGGAAAGAATTTAGTGTTTCCTGTGTAGTATTTATCTATATTGGTTCTTGAAATAATCCTTTTCTATATTTCCTTTGATTAAAAAAAATTGCTGCATTTCATTTAAATTTAATTCCTTAAATTTCATTAGAGATATATTTCTCATTGAATCAATTCAATTCTCATTTCCCGGCAAGGAAAAAATACATAAAAACTCAAAACATCTAAAATTCTAAAACATAGAAAAACCTAAAACACCAAGTCAGTCAAAACCGTTAAAAAATTGATAGTTAAAATTTAAGTTTAAATTAATTAAAATGAGGCAGAAAGACAGATTTTTCTGTGCACAAAACTTTTGGCCCCCACTCGGCAAAAAGACTCTGCGCTTAGTGCAGAAACTGACTTAAATCAGCATGCTGTTGAGTTTCAAACGTAAACAAATGGCCGCGTCGTTAGGCTTAGTGGAACTTAAAAATTTTTAAATTATTGATAATTCTATTGCATGCAGATTAACTAAAGGCATAAAAATCTTAACCGGAACATAACCATATAATTCAAACAATTTACTAATATTTTAAGAATAAAAAACTTAGGTCACCGACCGGGTAACAGAGTGGGTATATATAAACATATATTTATATACCCTTATATACCTTACAAACTTTATCAGCGTCTAAAAGCCATAAGTCTCACGTTATATAAAAAAAAAAGAAGTTTTGCATACTAAAAATACAGAATAAAGTTGTTATTTATTCTCATGTGTTTTTTTTTTCCCCCCGATTTGGTCAATGTTTTCTGAAGATTTAGGATGTTTTCATAATTTGTTTATATTTAGTTTAAGTTAAAGTAATTATTGAATAATTAATTAAATATGTTGGAAATCTTAAGAAATGTCATTTGAGAAATTTAATGTTTAGTTGTGAATATACTTGAATTGCAAAGTTTAACCAATAGACAACTTATTGATACTAAACTTTTCAGATTTCAGCCAGAAAATATATTTAAATTTGAATTTTTTCCCCTTAGCTTTATTATTATTGTTTATGTTTTTTATTTATTTTTAAAGCTTTGATACATGTCGAGTTGGCTGGAGAGTAATTTCGATTTTTTAGTGTGAAATAAAAGTCAATTTTTTTTTTCTGTACAAAAAATTAACTCTAATCAGTCAAATCTTATCTTCCATTCTGTTCGATGACCTTTTGCCATCTTTCTGGTAACTTAATGATTCCACGCTCATAAAACTTCTTGCCTTTATCAACAAAAAACTCAACCAAATGCGATCTGAGGTCATCACTATTACGGAAAGTTTTACCATTTAAGACCTGATGGTACAAAATCGGGGCTATACGGGGGATGCGACATCACATCCAACCCAGCTCCAGTAATTTTGTATGTGTTGCTAAATATATGTGAGGCCTGTCCTTAACGTGGGGAAACACGATTCCTTTGCGATTTGCCAAATCTGGATTTTTTTCTTTGATTGCTTCCTCTAGTTCCGTAAGTTATTGCCAATAAATATCTCAGTTGATCGTTTGGTTGCTTGGAAGCAGCTCAAAATACGTAACCATTTTGTAACCCAACAAATTGATAGCATAATCTTTTTCTGATGCAAGTTAATTTTCGATGTTTTCTGCTGATTTATCATGCTTGGACCATGATCTCGTTCGATTAATGTTATTGTAGGTGATCATTTTTTGATTGAAAGTCATACTTCGCCTCAAAAAAGGGTCGATTGCATTACGTTTGAAATGCGTACGGCAAATACTGATTCGTTAAGTGAATTTTTTTCAGTTCATGCGGAACACAAATATCGAGCTTGTTAAGGAGTGACATCTTATGTGATTTTCAGTTATTGTGTGTGATTGATTACATTTATCCTTTTGGAATCTTTCGCGTAATTAGGTGAGAATTTGATTCAGTTGTGACTTAATTTTTGTCATCATCAACTTAGGAGGTCGGCAAAAACGTTGGCCATCTTCAAGTGAAAAATCT